TTTTTTTTTTGAACCGACCCAAATCAATTTTCCTCCGGGAGCCGGGGATCCCATTTTAATTTTTACCTTTTCATTTTAAATGGTATAAATATGATAATTTTGTAATTTACTTAAAATATTATAAAAATCAATTAATAAATTTTAAATCAATGCTTTATTTATATATTTATAAATAAAGTTGAAAAATTCTAAATAAATTTATAATCTTTGTATTATTAATCTCATTTTATAATGAAATATTATTTTTATTCAATATAATAGCTACTGCTGGATCACTCTGGTTAAACCACTTCTTGCCAAATGCTATATCACTGCATCAAGGACACTGCACAAGAACATTTCTGAAAGATTATTAATTTTACCTTGTATGGTATTACAAATATGTATATTTATTTTCTTATTTTAAATGGACCATAAAGTTTAATATTTACATACATTTTCTCAAGTTGTTATAATGCTTAACATTTGACATTTTATTCGTTGTAGAAGTAAAAAAATTTGTAAAATCGGTTGTGGAGGGAATAGGACGCAAGTTCTGGCACACATGGGACGTTTTGGCCTTGTTCCTCTTCTACTGGTCAAAAGGTACACTTAGTCTAACTGACATATAGAACTGCCACTTTGAAACATTGTTGGACAACAAGATTGGTTGACGAGAAAACAAATTAAAACGGTGTTTGAAACATCACAGCAACATCATAATCATTTACGGAAAAGACCACGTGATTAGAAACGTTGTGATACTACCAATACCAATTATGTATCGTTACTTTTCTTTCGATATAATTACTTTTTGTATCGTTACAATGGTTTCGATAATTTACTCGTATTAATAAATAAAATACTGGAATTGAATCATTTACTATCATTTACTAACCGCTATATTGGTTCAAAAATCAAAAGTACTGGAATGGTTGAATGGTATCGTACAATAATTATTTTCTATTAAAATGGTTTGTGCGTGTGGCAGAGAATTTATTTACATAAATCAGTTATCACACTATAGTCTATACTTTATACTATTATATTGTTATTTCCGCGGACCAGAAACCACAGTCCACAATACAATAGGGTCAATAGATTTCCTCTTAATCGGAATGATTATTCATATCGATAGTTTTTATATTTTACTCTTATCTTTATTTTAATTCGATTTGATACGATGAAGAAAAAGGATAAATACCAATATTTAAATACTTTTAACTAAACTACTTTAAACATTCCCCAGCAGAAATAGCATCTCATACACGTATTTTGTTTTGCAATAAATGTACCAACAATACATACTTCATAAATAATCAAAATCAGATGATGACAACTGTGTGACAGATTTTAACCAGCTAGACCTACCATCAGAATTCTCGCAAAAAAACTCTAGAGTGTGCGAAGGTCCAGAAGTGGATCCAGAGTCGGGGAACTGTGGATCAAGCCATTTCAAGAGGCCATTTATTAGGGATAAAACTGAATTAGAAATGAATACTTTGTAAAAAAAAAAAAACACAATATGCTCATAAAAGAGTATAAGTATATTTATATTACATTTTAAAATTAAGGATACCACCGATAATGACATATTTACGATTAATAAATATAATCTAATTTTATCAGCGCAACAAACGTATGGAATAAAATATGATTTACTCAACTTTCTTCTAAAACGATATAATTGAAAATATAAATTATGAATTGAAAAATTTTTAATTTTGAATATACATACATTCATTTTTCAAGTAGGTAACTCCGATGAGCCAACTGTCCAAGAGTCCAAATCAAGGTCTAAAAAGAGAAAAAAATTTCCAAGAGGCCAATTTTGTCAACAAATATTAACTGTGGGTCAGCTGACCCCCTGAACTCCCCTTAGATCCGCTACTGTGAAGGCCTTTACTCATATTAGTTCTTTCCAGTGGAGTATATAGAGGGGAGGGTGCGTAGTGGGCTACAGCTTCTCCCGAAATGTTTCAAAAAACTTAAAAAATATTTTAATCGTTTGTTATGCTTTATGATGCTTTGTACTTGCTTGGAAATAATTTTCTAAAAAAAAAAAAAAAATAGAAAAATGATTTTAACAGGGTTGCATTTATTTTATTTAATTGTTCTAGTTCATTATAATGTTTTAAGGTCCTCAATTAATAGTTCAATGCTTATTACTAAGAGTTAATTATATAATAAATAAATTATAATTGTATAATACATTTTGTTCATAGCATATTTTATTATATAAATAGTTTAGTAGACATATATATATATTAAATAATCAAGTACCACATCATATATCCTTTGTTCATAAATACAGGATTATATTTACTATTGGAATTACGTAAATAATGTGATCAGTTGAAACAATTTTTATTGCCTCTGTCAAATAGTTTTGGGACATTCTGTAAATTAAATGTAGTACCTACTGTGTCTTGTTAGTAATTCTTAGATAGCAGAGGCAATTTAACTCTGACCATAGTAACCCCTGCCGAAAATATTTTCTGTATACGCCACTGGTCCCCTTTCGTTTCCTTATTTTCATTCGATTCGATACAAAGTAAAAGTTTCGATACTTATTCATATCGGTTCTTTCGTTTTGATATTTTACTCATATCGGTATTTTCATTTTATTCGATACTAAGTAAAAGTATCGATACTATTCTTTCGATACCACGTCCTTGTAGTCGCGTCGCGTGTAGTCCGAAAAAAACATTTCATTCGCACCGCACATGATAATTCGGAAACGCAGTTATTTCATGGAAAAATTTTTGAATCCATGGCTGTTATCACAGCCGTTATCAGAGACTATTGTTTGGTATTTACAAATCCGACGTTCTGAACACAATATTTTGCTTTACAATTGAGTTTCTTGCTTGACGGTTTTTGTTTACAATCTCACATACATTGTTACCCTTTTTTTTTTGTGTCGTTGGACCCGGAGTAGCATTTGCCGAGTGAATAGCTGCTGTAACCGAAGACGCCGAACGTAAGTACCCATTCATTGTTTTCTCGTTCTTGCCTTTGCGGCGAGCACGACGGCGCTGCAGCTTTCAAACTTCAACATTTAGCTATTCCAATTTACGGTGCTATTCAAATATTCTTGCAATCAAGAACGACAGAAATTTGAGTATGCTTAGCGACTCCTGCGTTGTCTTCTCAACAAACAAACGGATGGCTAGGCTCTGTCGGTGGTCCTGGTTGTTTGCACGGACTGTATGATTTTTGTAGTTCGAATATGTTACAATGGGTGTTTTGTGATATTATACATTTAATAGTATTAAACGGGATTTAGGTTTGCATTGTTTTGCTACATTTTCATTTTGATCTACTCTCTTGTGAGAAATATTATCATATTATTGAATTTAGCTAAATCAAACATTATTTCCATTTATATGTTTCTGATTTAACTTTCTTCATAGTTCCAATTATATAATTTTGTTTTTTTTTTTTTTTGTTTTCATCAGTGTATGAATTTATATTTTATGTACATGCTTTTTAATTAACCTAATCAATAATATTTAGAAATTTATTTTATTAATCGGTTTTCACGTATTGAAATCCTTCAAACAATTTTTTTTTTTTTTTCGTTATGAATTTGTATTAAAGGCCATATTCTCTAGCTTACTGTTCTGATGACTGTGTATTATCATTTCGTATTTTATTTGTTTTTGTGTTAAAGGTTTTAACTTAAGAGTTATAAGTATAATGATTGTTTTGCCTTAATCATTTTGACTATTTTAAAGTATTTTAACACTTCAACTTATTTTTTTAGATTACATGAACTGATAAAGAAAACAGACTGGGATATAATTGTAATGTTGTAATGACTTCTTCCTTATTTTGAAATAGCTATGTCTACATCAGGTAAACTAATTATATTTAATAACTACTTAAATTTAGTATTCTCTTTAAGTTTTATTAAGTAGCTGCCTGCCATGTGATTTTAAGAGTGATAAAAGTCTTGATTTATGAAAAAAATAATGAAAAATTTGCTGTTTCAATATATTTTTAAAGTACATGGATTTCTATATTTAAGAATCTATTAATTATTATTAAGTGATAAAAAAAGTTTTTCAAAATGTACTTATCATTTATTTATTAATTATCATATTTTTTTAAAATAATATAATACACGACAAGATATTTTAAATATTATACCTGAATTTTTCGACCTTAAGCTATTTTTTATGTATTCAAGGTCCAATTTATGAAAAAATTATTTAAAAAAAATAAATTTACGAGATTTTTGTATTTGTATAAATTTATCATAATGAAAAAACTAATTAATAACATTTTTATATTTAGTAATGCAAATAATTACTCAAAAGTTTGTGTTACAATATATTCTGATATCAAAATTATTATACATTATTTGTCTAGCGTTATTTATTACTTAAAAACTTGATTTTATTTGTCAGAATAGAAACTCAATCATTTTTTATTATTAGGCAATGTAAATTCATACTTAACATTTTATAATTTAAGAGTAAATAGGTAAATCAATTTTAATAATTATCTTTTATTGTATATAAATCATAATTTTTTATTATGATTCCAAATAATTTTATATTAGTGTTTTTAAAATTACATTTTTTGACCTTTTTTTGTAAAATTATTGTATAGCCAGTTTGTTTTAGTTAAGCTCTTCTTGTTTATTAGTTCTCTTATGGGTTGTTAACCAATACTTTTGTAATTCAATAAGTCTTTAATGTTAATAGTTAAAGCTGGTGTCCTAACAAAAAAATCAAATATATTTATTATTTAAACATTCAACACTACGAACTAGCAACTCAGCTGCACAGCCAAATAGTAGCTCTATATTGTTTTAAGGTCAGCAGGTGGGAATGCATTATATGATTTTTGGTCGGATATGAACTGATTATAACTTTTTTTAGTTGCTACTGACTTGTATTCTTAGTCTCAGTATGAAGTATACCAACAATTCAAAATAGTTCTATTCAACTTTCAGTTTAATTTTATTTGGCAAAATGTATGTGATAAATTAGACAATAATCATAAAAGCACAAATTAAAAGTTAAAATATTAGAGTCATATTTTATACCTATATTTTAAATATTCATATTTTGTTCTTGAAGAAAAATGCTCTCTTCTAGGATCTATATATTGTATCAAATCAAGTTGTTCTATCTAAAAATTAAATTATTAAAATAAATACATATGCAAATAATACAAATTAAAGAAGATTACCTTGAAGCTATAAAATAAAGTATTTGTAGTGTTTTATATATAAATATACGATATTCACAATATTTAAATTATATACTTATCATTTATGTTAAGCTTGTAAAAAAAAGCAGATTTTAAAAAATGATAAGAATGCTTTCACAAATTTTAATAAGTAAATTTTTTTATTAGTTGAAATAATAATTTTTTTTTATTTTTCTATTTTATAAAGGGCGAGGAATTGAGAAATTTTCCTACTTCTAGCTAAATATATTTTAATCAAATTTTAATTTACCTCTATTTTATGTATTAAAGTTCATAATGTTTAATTATTTATAGATATTTCCGGGGATATTTCAATTATATATTTCTTAATTTAATTTGTATTTATATTGATGTGTTAATATTTTATTACTTTGTTAATTCAATTTAGATTATGATTTTAACATCTGTCTTTGATAATTTATTTTCAGTAAAATCATCTTATTTTGTCAGTGGTTGTTAGACTTTGAGCTTATTCTCTGAGTAATCTCCCAGCATTCCCAATGAAAAGTATAGCTGATGGTGAATCAGAAAATTTACGACAATTAAATACAACTTGGGGTAATAGTAGAGGTGAACAACAAACTGAATTGAGTTCAGAAGCACGGAACGCAGTACGAAGAACATTATTTGTTGATACGCCTACTACTACTACAGTAGAAAGCAATGATAACGTTTTAACAGAAAGTAACAACGAACAAAATAATAAGTGGCTCTCATATGTATTAGAAAGATTGACTGACGATCCTAAAAATATGCCTGGCAATAGTCAAACACCTCCTGCCAAAGACGTAAAAGATAAGGAGCCAGAAGTGCAAACAGCAAGTGAAGCCGAATCCAGAATTAAAGATGTCTGGGCTCATAATTTGGAAGAAGAATTTTCAGCGATTCGAAAGTTGTTACCAAAATATTGTTATGTGGCCATGGATACAGAATTTCCAGGAGTTGTAGCTCGGCCAATTGGTGATTTTAAGACAACCGCAGATTATCTGTATCAGCTGTTACGTTGCAACGTTGATCTATTAAGGATCATTCAATTGGGACTTTCATTTTTTGATGAAGATGGCAAAACCCCTACTGGTCCGTACACAACATGGCAATTCAACTTCCAGTTTAATTTGTCAGAGGATATGTATGCTCAGGATAGCATAGAACTATTGACAAATTCTAGGTAATAATAAAATATCTATAAATATTTATAATAATTTATAAATATAAAATGAAGTAATTGTTATTTAAAATTTTTTTATTTTTTAGAATACAATTCAAGAAGCACGAAGAGAACGGAATCGAACCATTGTATTTTGCTGAATGTATGATCACATCAGGATTAGTGTTAATGGATAATATCAAATGGATGACATTCCATAGTAGTTTTGATTTTGGCTACCTTGTCAAAGTTTTAACGGATGAAAGATTGCCACCAGAGGAAAATGATTTTTTTGACATGTATTCTCTATATTTTCCTTGTGTGTACGACATCAAATATTTAATGAAGAGCTGCAAGAACTTGAAGGGTGGTCTACAAGAGGTAGCTGACCAATTGGAGCTTAGGCGAATTGGACCACAACATCAAGCTGGTAGTGATTCTTTACTAACGGGCATGGCTTTTTTTAAAATAAGAGACATGTATTTTGAAGGTATGATTGACAATAAGAAGTATTGTGGTCATTTGTATGGCTTGGGTATTACTACTTTGAATAATGGCCAAATCCGTTATGACAATAATGAAGGGGCATCAAATTGATAATACCAAAAATATATTCTTATTTTTCTAAAATTGTAATGACCATAATTTTTTATTGTTAGCTAATGAATGGCATACTACACTATACATTTTCATTTTAAAGATATATATACATTTTTTTTTTAAATACGTCCAATTTATTTTATTTTTCCTTAATCAATTTGCTCTGTTTACAATTTGTTTGCCAATTTTTTGCAAAGTTAGAGAATTATAGATTTAAACATAGTTAAGAATTATGTTAAGAAAAAAAAATTTTAAAAAAAATGGTCTTTATAATATTTGTGTATATTTTTATATATATTTTCCATATCTAGAGCATTAGAATAAAATTGTATTTAAAATATTCTATGCTTTGAGAAATTAAATGAATATACTAAGTGTTGCGATAAAAGTTATGGTTTTTGATTATTTTTATAGTTAATAATAATATATATTATATATAAAAATTCCTAATAGGCAAAATGACTAAAACATTTAGAAAAATGTATTTTATCCATTCAAAAAAAATATCATGATAAATTTAATGTATACCCTTAGATCTTTAACTGAAAAATAATTAATATTAACAACTCATGAGTTAAAATGTTAAAAATTACATTGTCCCTTTACCTATTAGGATTCAATGTTAAATTTTACACAACTTTAGTTCCATACATTTATGGAACTAGTTAAACGCAGTTCAAATTTTATAATGTTCCATTTGTTAACTGTATTTTGTCATTTTAATTAGTAACATAATCATAAATTAATAATTTTTGTAAATTTTAGATTCTCTGTCCCAAACCTCCACTTGTCCCGATTTTCTACATATATCCCCTACTCACATACCAACAGCCCTGATATTGTTTTCAATCGTATTCAACCATCTCTTTTTTGGTCTTTCTCTTCCTCTTTTCCCTTCAACATTCATTTTTATAACCACTCTTATTGCTTTTAGTTATTAAATTTATATGAAAAAAATAATAACAACAAATGGTTAATTTGTTTTTTACTATTTTTAACAAAAGTTATTTAAATTTTTTTATTATAAATAAGAAGAATTTGAAAATGTCAGTAATTGTGTACTTATTCTATTGTGTACAAACACGATTTTAAATAAATATTACTATTTAGTAAATGCTTAGCACAGAGGTTCCCAATCTTTTTTGACTCACGGCTCCCTTTATTATTTTCTAAAAATTTGCAAGCACCCTATAGCCTATGCCCTATACTCTATAGTTTATACTGAATATGCAATACTAATATATCATGTATTTAAATTTATATTTTGTAACTTCGGTTTTATTTAGCATTAATAAACAATAAAGATAAGATAAAATCACAAGTATATCACCGTAAATCACTTTAAAACAGTTCATATCAAATCGATAGCAATCGAACTAGTATGAAAATTAAAATAGATTGAACATCTTAGTATTACTATGTAAAAATTATATGTGTTAATGAGTAATTCATTAAATTACATTATATATACCTAATTAATTATACACAATAGGTTTTATACTATAGACATATAGTCTGTTTTATTACTCACAGTGCTATACTTTTCTTGAAGGCGTTTAAAAATAAATATATATTTCAAATATTTTTGCAGCACCCTAAATTTAATCTCGTGGTATCCTAAGGTGCTGCGGCACCCTGGTTGGAAACCTCTGGCTTAGCATATAATTTTTTTTAAATTTTTGCTATTTTTACACACTTTAATTTAAAATGTTGGTTTCTAAGATTTATGAAAATTAAATACTGTAAAATCTCTCTGTAACTATAACAAAATTGTTCTAAACCAACTGATTTTTCTATTAAGAAGTGGTTCCTGTTAAGAAAAAAACTAATAAATAATTTAAATAATTGCTTATTTCAATTAATTTAAGACTATTAAAATTTGGTAATTCTATGGAATATGTTGATTACATTACAATTACATAATTTTGGTATGTATATCTTTTTAAAAAATTAAATATTTCTATGTTTTGAAATTATATTTTTATTAAATAAGTTTAATTTTTTTATATTTTCAAAAGATAATAGAATGTTATGTTTTAAATATAAAACTAATTTAATTGTATCTTAATGGTTTTCTAAGGAACTGCCACTAGTTTTTTATAAAATCTTGTATTTTAAAAAAAAGTTATTTAACAAAAGTCACACATTATAATTTTTAAAATGTAATGGCTTATTACTATTTTTATTTATAATTTAATTTTAACATTAGTGCTCGTTATTTACAATAGATTTGAAGTACAGGTATTTTCTAACCTTTGTTGGAAAAACTTAGTTAAACTTAGTTAACCTAGTTTTATGTTGGAAAAACCATCTGAAGATGTTAAGATGTCCTGGTTATAGTAACTAATAAGCTTTTGTGTTATTATTTATCTATGTTAAATGGAGAATTTAATATTAATCTTAGTTATTTCAAATTAATTTTTGTTGATAATTTGATGAAACAATACATCTCTAAAATAATTTTTAGATTTTGCATTAAAAAAAAATTGGTTCTGAACCATAATATTTTAAACGAAAAAAGTAGGTATCTAATAAATATTTTTATGAATATCTATGTATAATGTATTTATTATTTTTATCGATGCATCCATTTTGTAGGATTTAAGTTTGTATTTTACTTTTTAAAGCATTACAAGATATATTTAAGTAATTGTGGTTATTTACATTCAGTGGCGCAACCAGGGGGGTGGACTCCGGGTCTGGACCCCCCCCCCCCTTGGTACGTATAATAGTATATTAATATCATATTCTAGATTTATATATTATAATTTTTTATTATTTGTATATTAGTTTATTTTGTCACCCCCCCCCCCCCATGAAAAATTCCTGATTGCGCTTCTGTTTACATTTGTTATATTTCTGAAGAATTGAAGCTAGATAGTCTAATTACTTAATAATGAAGGAGAGTAAATACTTGAATTACTTAAAATCTTAATAAGTCATTATGGAATAAATTAAAAACTCGAGGCTTATCATTATTCATTATATATAATATAATGTAACTTATTTTAAATGGAAATTGCTTTTATTTCCATTAAAAATAATGTTGTACCAATCAAGCTAGAAACATTTTCAAAACAATAACTCTGAGGTTACATATATTATTGGAACATTCTTTGGTTACATATTTTTGGTATTTAAATTTAAATTTATTTACTGGTTATTTCTTTTTCTCTTTCTTTCTTAAAGTATTTTCCATCAATTCTATATATGTATATTATATTCTTATTGTTATTTCTATGTAACTGTAATGCTCCTCAAAAAATAATTTATTGTTTGATAGTGGCCATGTGTCAAACAAAATATATAAAATATTTAATATCGGTGATTATGGTTACACCAATAATAAATCTATAGCTCTTGGATATTTCAACTAGTAAGGCTGTCAGTTGGCCGACCAAAACTATTTAAAATATTCATTCATTTTTATAATTAAATAGTATATTATTTTCTCATAAACCATAAATATGTATTTATTCATATTAAATTATTGATTACAGAAACGAAATATTCAAATATCTTAAGACCTAGTCATATTTAGACTAGTGTGGCGCACATACCTACCTATTATTATTATTATTCAGCTTGAATGATTCAATAATCTATTCTATACGTGATGATACTTTTTGTGCTCATGCCAATGAGATCATCGCAATTATCATAATATGGTTATTGATAAGTTATACAGACATCTGTCTGCTAATCGTTGAAGAATTTCAATCCTTAACCGAATATAAATCTAGAATTTTGTTTTAATTTCGTACTAAATGGAAACGCAGAAAACAAAATCGATTATTCTCTTCGGCTATTACTTATTATAGTTACCAATTTTATTTTAGTATTTTTAATTAACATTCTACTAGTAAGTTAAGTCTTGATCATGTAAACTGGTTCAAAACCCCTGTTCATTTTTTAGTGTTTCAATTTATAAGTTTTATTATCGTGTTTTTTTTTCATTAACCATTTATTTTGATCGTATAATACGATGAATGAAATGTATTCTACTGAGAACAGTAGGAATTTATTATAAAAACGTCATTACTATAGTCAGTCGATCGCTATTGTATTTACTCAACATAATTGTAATTATTATTTATATACCACGCACTACACAATAACAAGTATAATATAAAATCGCCATTCAGTAAAACAGTTCCTTTGTCGTATTTTAGTATAAACAAAATAACTTACTGTAATTTGTAAACAATTTTGTTTATTAAATTTATTCCTGTGGAAGAGAAGTTAATAAAATATTATCCTGTTAATGGTGTTTCAAAACATTTTCTTGTATAATAGGTAAGTACTATAATAAGTTTTATATTATAAGTAAGTACATTTAATGTAGGTAAATTTAAGTTATAACCTTTTATAATAATGATTGATAAAAATTATTAAGTTCTAATCGTAATAGAGGATTTTAGTTAACTTTTAAAATATAATATCCATATTATGGATATTATAATTTACATTTTCATATATGCAACAATTGTCTTTCGGTAGCTACACATCAAACCACATTGATGTATTATCTGGATCTTATTATAGAATATGCAAATGCCATAAGTCTTGCCATTTCTTAATAATCATAATCCAACCTATTTGTTGGTATTATATTAAAAATATAGAAATATTTATGTATAGCTAACTTAGTAAAGAATTTAAATATATTTTAAAACTATTTATGCCCCCATTATAAATAAAATTATTATTCAGTTTTTTGCGTGTTTAGAAAATTTACAAAAAATGGAATTTCCTTGTTATTGAAACCTTAATTTTATAAAAGTTATACTACAATAAGTGTATTATATTATTTGGGATTTAATTTATAATTAATATAAGTACTGTTCTATATTTATATTATATTTTACCGACCCTATAGTTAAATCGTTAACTTCTGAAAATGTTTAAATTATTTAGTTTGTCCGTCGTAATGTGCTCTTTAATGTTAATGGTTTTATATTTTTAGACATTCATTTTGTAAAAACTTTTAGTGAGCATTGTGTATTGCATCATTTTGTATATTATAAATAACGATATTCAACAAAAATACATACGTAAACAATAATTTCCAAGTGGTCATGTATACTGATGGTATTCATATCAATATTTTTTTTAGATGTATTATCACTTGTATTTTATAACATCTCCTTAACGTGTACTATAATGGTGTTCTATAAAGAAAAACATAATAAAGGGTTAACGATTGTTAATATTTTGAAATCAATGCGTATGCATAATGAATCTGTTCAGCAATATTTGTCTTATCACCGTAAAAAATAATATTCCCTGAATTATGTTTAGTCGCGTTTTTGAAAATTATCACGCACGTTTAATTCTAATTTCTAAGCCTAAACCGTACACGTGTATATATACCGTGCTCCCAATATTCGTTCATTAGGAACGCAGTTTCCAGCGCTAATAGTGCATACGTCTTACGTTATTGTCGTAGTAATTATACCTATGGGATTATGTTGATATGGCAATAGTGCGTTTATAACACGGTCATGTATACGTTGAAAATATCGTTCAAATTAAATTTCGTGAATGCCCGAGGAACAGAGCAACAAATAAAGTTGTAAATATATCGATATTTTCCTCCTAGTTTTTTGGTCCAGGTCCAATTTTTTTAATGGTACGTTATTATTAGTCATATCGATATCCGTTGTTCTGTTTATATGGTTAACAACGACTGATTTTCGATTAGCTTTGGTTTCGAAAAACTCCAATCCACTAGACTGCTGAAACAAACGCAGTTATTGACATGATTTAAGTTGAAAACCGAATCGTTGTACAGTTATTTATAATATACTAAAAATATAATGAAAATATAATATTAACATTATGAACATCAGTCATCAAGGTGATTTTTATTATTGATGATAGATCGAATGCAATAATAATTATGTATATATACATACAATCCCGAATTAAGGGAGGTCAAGGGACCTGCGTATATAGAGGGTCCATAGTCTTCTCGGTATTTCATTGAGTGGTAATATATACTTTTAATAGTACTTATAAAAATATTTTTATATTTATCTTGTTTAAACTAACGGACCACCATGAGCTTAATGGGGGCACATGGCCAGGTTGTGTATGGGGAAAAGGGATATATTTTGTTATAGCTGTATCTAAAATAAAACCTTAAAAGCATTTGCTACACAAAAAGCAATGAAAATACTTATACATAAAATACTTAATTTTATTTGTAGGTATACGATTAGTATGTACCATAATAACAAATAAAATGTTTTTAATATTTTATTATAAAAAGGTTTGAATTTGTTTTATTGTAAATTTTTTAAAATTTTAAAGAATTATTTTCATTGGGGGGGGGGGACACAACCATAGGCCCCTGAAGGTCTTAATCCGGGCTTGTATGTATATGTATATATGGCTCTTAAAACTTGAGGTAAGGTTTAGAGACTTTTATAAAAATTATTCATCAATGACAAAATACCTGTAGCTAATGGTAGGGTCATACTAACAAATGATTAGTAATAATATTTTTAAATAATCTTTTTCAAAGCGAAACAAAAACAATATTCTATCCGTATCCGACGTGGGTTCCAGCTTTATAATCTTGTAATTTTTATGAATCTTATCCCATTTCCAAAACCCTCAACGTTGAACGTAACTGTTTTATCGCGTATTATTATTATGCGTGCGGGCAATCCGATTACACTATAATCATGTTCCGCGTTCACTCGTTTTTCCACGATGTACTTTTAATATGATTACAGCTCTGACCGTCGTTTTGTTTTGAACGAAAACCGAGCGACAACGGTTTTCCCACCACATGCGAAACCTCCGACATCGCGCGGTCGTATATAAACCAATCGCTGCGCCGCGCTCATTCAAAACATTAGAGCAAACAATAATATCGTAGAAAAGCTGTTCGCCGGTCGCCAACAGCACAACACTCTGCCACTGACGTTCCTGCCGCCGTCACTGTTTTCGGTGAGTTGTTAATTTTTATTGCATCTGTAGTTTTTTCATCGATTCGTGCATTCGGGGTTAGCTATAATTTATTGATATTATTGTATTTTCCTCTTCGGAATTTCGAACATTTTTTCCTTGTATACGAGTATATTTTCTCTCGATTAGCGTGGCCGACAAATTCATTGTTTTTCAATGGGTCTTGTCGTTTATTTATTTATGCGTTCTTTCAAGCGTCTTCAGTGTGCGTACCTACAAACGCGACAACGCAATGAGTACACATAACAACACGTAAATAGTAATTATTTTTAGTATCTAGCCATATAGCAATCTATTGCTTTTATCTAACAAATTAGATCCAATGGCAACAATATTGTATTGCGAGCAGTTTAAAACAATATAAAATTTAAATTGTATAACGTTTCATTATTGATTATTTCTAAAATTAATAAACTTTCTAGTCGTTTTAAATGAATGATTATAGTTTAAACTCACGTTGTACAGTAAACTGTCAATTGGCTAGTGACATAAATCGAGTTACTTGTAACTTAAAATAATAAGGGATTGTTTAAAAAAAAATGTGGGATTTTTATTTCTTAAATCATGTAATTTAGGATCTGGCATTTAAAACACGAAATCGCTTTTTTTTTTTAAAAAACATACCTTAAAAATAATACATTTATCGACTAGTTAATATCATCACTTCTACATAAATTCATTTTTAATGTTGGTAATTTATCTATGTTATATGAATAATATAATGGTTAATATCACATATATGTAGATTCCATTATACTCGTAAAAACGTCGTAATTTTATCATTATAATAACGTTAAAACGGATTAATAAATATAATTATTTATATCAAACTCTATTGATTATTTATTATTATGAGCTATTTACATGTGGTGAACCGATTTTGTTCAATAGGTGTTTTACGTGAATCACTATTTTTTCTATTTATCTATAGTATTTGAACTAATACCCAAATTTTTAAGTATATAAATACTTTGCCATGGAAGTAATACAAGTCTATCATCGGTTCAAAACTGAAAAAAGTATATAAACACTTAGGTGTCTTACTTTGGAAACAAGGTTTCTTGAAATCTCGAACAATATTTTTACAGTAAAGACAATAGATCACTATAATATTATTGCAAATTAAAATTATATATATATATAATATGTTAAATAACTCCAATTGTTAATCACTAACGACTGGATTCGGTGCAATAATAAATAATGTTTATCTTTATTTTAATATTAAATATTTTTGAATGTTTTAAATTAATCTATACGGACTTCGATGTGTTGTAATCTTTAGTTGATGGACTTTTAAGTCATAAATTACATTTGTGTAACAACAAAACTAGCTAGCATCATTCTTGTTATTTCATAGTTTTAATTGGCGATTAGCTGAAGTTTGGTAAACTATATTTACCAACATATTGCAAACTTTGTGTGTATTTTTTTTATTATACTCCTATATTATTGTGATGATTTTGGGGCTCCCGAATTAATTTTCACCTGGCCCTAAAAATCCTTAGGACGGCTCTGAATAGTATCATAACATTCTATCATTAGTTGGAATTTATGATACCAGTTCTTGCTGCTAGTTAGAAAATCGGCGAATAAAACAAGCTTTTATTACGAAAAATAAATTTAAAATAATCGTAACTCTATATTAAACTAAAGTTATATTTACAATTTTTTTGATTTTATTGGAATTTTCCAAATTTTTGGTCTTGTCATACATAAAACATTTTCTTAATATGAAATTAAGGTTTTTGAAAATACAGTTGTACTTTGTAATATACTTTTTATATCTACATAGACAATATTTTTAAAATGCCCGAAATTTTTATCTATGTTTTTAAACCATAACTTGAATTAATAATCTATCACAATGACTCATTTAGTCGAAGGCCATATTATAAGGTCATTATTGTTATTGCTAGGTTACACGTCATGTCGTTCTAGACATATACAATTTAAAATGTAAGTATAGTCAAATGATGCTTAATCTATATGTATAGGATGTCTGTGGCTAAAAATATTCGTGACTCATCATGAGTTATGACCCTTCAGAAACCTGTTTGTTGATAACAAATATTTGAAAAATTAGATATAGACAGGGGCGTATACAAGGGGGGATTTGGTGGTCAGATTCCCCCCCCCCCTCCCATAGGTCTTTTTAAAATTGTATAAAATAGTGTTCTTAATGTAAGGAAATTATAAGGAAACAAAAAAATATTACAAGGATTTATTGTAAATTATTATTTTGACACATTCAATATATATATATCTTTTATTATTTATTATTGAAATGTGCAGGTACTTAGGTTTAGGAATTTTCCTTCCATAATAATTTTTTTGCAACTGATTCCCTCCATACAAAAGTTATTTATACGCCACTGGATATAGCTGATATAATTCACCTAACCCATTTATATTTTTTTCTCATGGTTACAGCGATTGGAATGGATTTTATTTTAATAATTTTATGTTAAATGCAACCTTTTTTTTGAATAAATAGTTGGTAACTGAAGTTGATTAAATCAAAAATACATAAACATCGTTGTAAAGAATGATCATCTTTTAATTTACAATTCTTAATCTCAACATTCGCGATAATATATTTTGATATAAATATTGTGTAAAATATAAATTTATTAAATAAATAATATAAAAAAAAAAAAAAAAAAATGAAATAAATTATGAATAAATTTACTGCCCTAAAATAACTATAGTACTCATCGAAAATATCAATATTAAAAATAAATAATTAATTAATTTTCAGTTTTAATTAAATAAATATTTTATTTTATTTTAAGTGAATTGTTTTAAAACAATATCTATGAGCGAATCTTGTACATATTTTATATGTATGAGATGAGAATACAGTTTTGTTTTTAAAAAACGACTTCCACTAAATGTTATATTACATAAATTTGATTTATCGCGCACTAGTCTCACGATGGAACACAACCACACCTGGTCGTCCTTCGCGCAGGATAACCCAAATATTAAGTCGGAGTATAGTATCTGTTTCCTTTCTTAAATAATTCACAAGGTTTTATTAAACCATATTAAAATACAGGAGTTGTGTTTAGACGAAATTAAAACCGTTCAACAATAACATTTTATGTCCTGATAAATTTCTGAAATTAATTTTCAGTTTTTTAAGTTTGTTTTTATTTTTTTAAACGATGATCTAATCCATGTTTCTTGGAGGTCACGCGTGTACCACTCCTATTCGAGACATGCCGACAGGCTGCCTACGCGGATGTGGTTCATGGTTTATTTTTTAACAGAACACTAGACTTGCTCGACAAATACTTTATGGTGAACAATTTATTACATAATTGATTCATACATAGGTGGGGGTATACTCATAACAACCGAAAAGCCAGCCGATATAAAATATTAATTCAATATTTGTTTATTGTAATACATTAATACTATTTTGTTGACATTATATAATATTGAATTGTTAAAAGCAGTCATATTACTTTTTTGATGTTTACACAGTATACCTAATAATATGATTTAGACCTTACTAAAGGTATTAAATATTTATATTATTTGGAAATGTAATAATGATCTGTAAACTTTTTTTTTACAGATATTTAAAAAAACTATAATTCTACTAAAACAAGATGGCCATCACCAAAATTACCATGATTAAATTTTTGGAAGTCGTAAGTATTTATATATGTTTATTAAGATTAATTTTACCGTATATTAATATTGTAAACGGCATGTAATACATCAGAAATAGGTACTCATGACTGCATACTTTTTAAAAATAATTGATTATATGGCAAGTCCTTTGCTTTTTAACACTTGAATAGCGTGTGTGCATTCCATTAATATTGTATACTTTGACATAGTGTTGTTTCGTATTTTATTGCTTTACAAAGGTATTATTTAGTACCGGTGGCACGACGATAATATTCTATATGTAAACGACTGTAACGGCGAATAATGGTCGATTTATTGTATTATTATTCTATCATTTGTTCAGAGAAATCACTTGCATATTTTTGTAATGTTAACTTTCAAGTGTCTATGTATGTTGGAAGTAATTGTAATTCATCGGGGTCGTTGGTCATTTTTTTTTTTTTTTTACCGAAATGATTTCTTTTATAGTGCAGTGTATCCAAAAACGTTTCTATTTGTAAACTCATTGACTCGGAACTTTCTCATTGACCCGGAGTATACAATCCTACTAGGCGAGTTGTCCTTCTTGAGTCCTTTTGTAGATATCATTAACTGTCACCCACGAACATAGTGTACCTTGATCGTATCGTGTGTATTGCGGCAGATGTACTATTTTGGTCAAATAATCGCGGACAACCTTATAATTATATTAACTACATAAGTAACGTTTATTATTGATAACTATATACATAGGTAGTAACAATTAAATAACGTTGCGTGGGAAAAATATATTTCTTTATTAATAATATTTCAAATGAAAATTGTGACTTGGGCAATCATAATTAAGATAATATGTACATCGTACAAATAAGTAGTGATGGTGTGTGTGGATGTTTTGACTTCATGTAGGCAATGACTAATACGTTATAACTTATAAGTATATATTCTAGTGTTACACGAGTCAATTATACGTTATATTTATATATATATTTTTTTTATTACTAATTTGTGAGTCATATATTTGAATCAAGTTGGATAAATTGATAATTAAGTAGATAGGTTATCTCTTTATTTAATTAAACAAGGAACGAGAAGAAAAAATGATGAAATCCCACTTGTTAAAATTTCAATTCATCCCACTTGTTTTTATTAAAAATGTTATTTGTTCTATTGTCAACTTATTTGGTTAGTTAACCTAACCATTCTTAATATAGTAAAACGAGTATAATGTAATTGCATTTATTGACAAATTATTTTTATTATTTATTTAAAGTTATAATATATAAGGAGATATATTAAATTGTTGAAAGAAAAAACATTTTGATTCATATAATTATTTTATAATAAATAGAAATTCTTTAGCTAAAGTTTGAACGTTCAATAATTATTATTCTCCTTTATAGGTTGTTGTGAAATAGTTAAACATTGAAATTTATAAATTATTTAATTGTTTTTATTAAGTTAAATATAAATACTTAGTTGTTATGTAACTTTATAAAATATTTTTCTATCTTTTCATGAGGGTCTTGTCACAATAGTTTATTGTATTTAGTTGCAATTTCTGTTGAGTTATATTAGATGTTTGAAATATTTTGTGCGTGTGCGTCGTGAACTAGGAACTGTTTAGTAACCAGTGGAGGAGCCTATCCACTAGTGTAATGCGTATTTAATAATAGAAAGATAGTCACGTTGGCAAGATGGACATGTTCACGAGTAAACTTGTATTTGTATTATATGACCCATAATATGCTTGGTGAAAAAATATTGTAAACTAAGAATTTCACTATTACATCAGTTATCATCGGAGATTATTATCTAGCAGTTAAAAGTTAAAAAAAATCACAATCCGTGGGCAAAAATGTATTACTACATATTGATTCTAGGATGTGTATTAGCATTAATGAGTCAATATTATATGGTTTGTTTGGATTTACAATTTATGATAATTGTCAAAATGGTGCTATACCAGCCAGAGGCACGCGATGTTTTAACACTTATATTTTCAATGATTATATACTACGACATTCTACTTCATTTTTATGTCCCATAATTATTTTTATGTTACAACTGCGAAATAGTAATAAAAAAAAATTGCCATGTTCTTCTAAGCAAAAAAATATATCTTAAACATTTTGTTTTTAAAAAAAGAATAGATCCAATGAAATTCAAAAAACTTCATTTATTTCATAGGATCCACGAAAAAGTAGTTTTATCGTTCAAAATGTGTTACGGAGTATGTAGTCATTAATTGTATTTCATTTTTTTTTTTTGTGCTAACTTGTGAAGAAATAAAACTACCTAATAATATTAGAATTTTCAATTACTCAATATATATAATATTTTTACGAAAAAAAAAAAAAATACAAAAACTTTACAGTGAGAAATGGGAACTTTTTTTATTTAAAATGTTGCCTAAATAGAATGAAAATCCTTGGTCGGTAATAGAGCCGGTCTCATTGGTAAAATAAATATTCAGAGAATTCTCTAAATTCCAGGGTCTTTCTTTTACTTATAGTCAAAATCGCAACTCGACAGCGTGTTTTAGTTGTACCGTAACTATATAATAAACTATATAATACCGTAACTGTACGCCTGCGGAGACAATTCAAAGTACACATTATACGCGTGTTTCACACAAAGTAATAGTTTTAATATCTCCAAGGTCATACCACTCGATAGCGATGAATCATTTTATGTTTGTAAATATTTGCTATTCGGAATGTTCGCAAACTTTAATGCATAGGTCTATGGGCCCACTCTTACAAGCGCGAAACACTGCTACATCATTTTATAATCGTTTCGATTTCATCATTCTTAAATTAAAAACGAAACATACACGAATTCATTTTTAAGCATGTATAGAATCGACCATGAGTCGTTTCGGCGCATTGTTTTTATGTGTACCGTTGGAAGTGTAATAATTATTATTACTTCTATCGGCGTTGGCGTGTATTTTTTTGTGAAAGCTGCGTAGTATGAATTGAATTGAGGATGGATCCTTGACACTATTCTATTTTCTCCGTTTGTTTTACTCTCGTTTTAGACATTTTCTCGTTGACACAAATATTTGTACCACTGGATCACTGCGGTAACCTATGTATGGCAATAGAAACGCATACACCGTTATGCTGCTTTTATGACGTGTTTACAACTTTAGTCATTGAACCACCGTCGATAATTCTTCGCAACATCGCCAGTCTTTAAGAGACGTTAGGTTTTTTAAAAAATTAATTTTAACAATATTATTATCGAGCATGAAGCTACTACGACGTACACATAAAAGAGTGAGATGTTAGACCAGCTATTTTACTAACTTTCAATACATGGGAAGCTGTCAAGAACGTTGATACATTTTTATTGCGCGTCTGACATGTTTACAGAGCAGGATGTATCCTTTAGTTTATAATTGGTACATATAAAATAAGAATATTATAAATACTTTTCAAAAGTTCAGATTTATTAAATCCCAGCTGGTTCTTATCGTATTTACGTATTTATTAGTACAAAACCGCTGGTAAATAAAGGTTTAACTTAAAATCAATCACGTTCGATCAAATCTTATTCGTATTACGTCCAAATATAACAACGTATTCGAATAACAAAACAATAATAAATGCGTTTTGTTTGCGCTAGTGTGATGTGGTGTTCTAAAAGCGATGCGTATGTGCCTTTTGTATTGCTTTTTATCGGATAAATTATTACAATTGTTCTGCTAGATATGTGTCTAATATATAATTTATGATATAACACCTGCAGTGTATTGTAAATATGCTAATCTACACGTCTACTATAACATTAACCTCGTTTCTGTCCCATTAAAATATACTCGTAAACGTTTGAAATAAACTGTATTAAATAGACGATAGTCTATATAGTTAATATCCAAGTAGAATTAATTAGCTGGGGATCGAAAATCCTGCGAGGGTACGCAATAGAATGGTATAATAATCACAATTTTTTTTTTTAAATATTTTTACAGGCTCTGACGATCATAATTTTCGTCCTGCATTACAACAGCTTCCCTGGCGGTGATGCCACTTCCGTCATGATCACTACCGGAACCTACGTTGGTTATGTGATTATATTGGCTGGTATTTTCATTGGACTCTTCACGGGAACACCGATAAGCTCTCGATTGGTAAGTTTCAGATTTTCAGGAAAAATATTTAAAAACCATTCGTTTGTTTTTGATGATTGACTAACTTTTAACCATATGTTTTACTCTAAAGGGTGATAAGTGCGACATTTGTACGCGTGTTATAAATCATTTTTTAAATACCATATGTACGAATACTCGCAATTTATCAGATGTCATTGAATAATATTGTTTTTTACTGTATTTGTGTTCTTGTGCCGTACTCTGTCGGCGTTTCTTTCAAATTTACTAATTGTTAAATTCATTAAAACAGGAATCATTAAAACACGTAATTCGTATTTAGTATATATCATTAATAATACGACATTGACTACTATAAATACATTTCTTACTTCTAGTTATTTTTAATTATTTTTTTTACAACGGTTAACCAGAGTTTAAATTTTTATTTTTATTTTTATTTAAACTGTGTTACAATTAGTTTCAACAGTTAAGTGCCATGAAATACAAGATAGTAATTAAATTACTTCTAAATAAGAAACACAATAAAATATTTGATTTGATTAAAAAGCCTGTATTGTTGAAAAAGGATAAAATGTACAATATAATATATTTTTGTTGGTCTGAAAAGATATTTTTGGTAACGAAAGGAATGTTGGAAAAGTTTAAACGGGAAATAAGTTGGACCAGTTTATAATTAATCATTTTTTTAATTAGATATATCAAACGCATTATATCAAAGTTAACTGTAATTCAAACAACACGCAAATATAAATATTTTGATAGTAAAGTGAAATATGAGAGATATTACATTTATCTTCAAAATTTTTATCATTATGGACCGCGTTATATTTGTTAGTATTGGAAGGGGTATGCGTTTTGATGAAAATTCGACACAATCGCAATCGACGATAATCAATATTATTTACGCGTTTTATATGTGCGCAGATATAATTACACAAACGTGCAAGCGCGTACACAAGGAGGGGGGGGTTAGAGGTTCAAACCCCTCCCGAAATTCAGGAAAATGATTAAATGTAAATTCAGGAAAATGATTAAATGTTTTTATATAGTAAAATTGGTATACAGATTATATTATTATGAAAATGTGCAATCTAAAACCCTTCCCAAAATATTTTTTTGTGTACGCGCCTATAAACGTGTACAATATCGACGGTAATCTGTAGAATAGATATGTACTTGAAAGTATTACCCAGTTTTAACCATATTTTGTTTTTATACCTTTTGATTAAACTATTCTTTTTTAGTAACTTATGTTCTGATACAAAAAAAAAATAAATATACTGCTTACATATCATGAGCATTCCATTTGTGCATCTAACAATTTATTATGCATATTTGAAATTGTCATTTTTAATGTTTTTACTGTGATTAAAGATGTATTGTACAACCGAAATAGAAGTTTACTTCATTACTGTTCGCATAATGGTCAAGTAGTTTTGAATTTTATAAGGTTTTTAACTTTTAAACAAATAATTTATTTTTCATTCAATCTAAGACCAATAAGATTTTTCGCCACATGTTTTCAACATCGTTCGACCCAAATTTGTTTACATTTTATGTATATCTTATATCGTAGATGTTCTGCACTTGTGTGTATGTTAAACATTTTTTAGTTATTGATAAATGTATTTATAATTACAAACTTATGTTTTAGGACATGTTTTTCGTGTTGATCGGTGCTGCTCTTTACATCGCGTCTGGAGTAATGTCGTATAACTACTACAATAGCTTTGCATTGAAATCGTCCTATGTCAACACCGGCTTGACCAAAGCTTGGCTGTCCATCCTTAACGGAATCGTGTTCGTTGTTGACGCTGCGTTCACCTACCGCGGAGAATAAAACTATTTCCACGAGTATAATTATCATTAAGTTAATTATTATTAAGTTAATTTTTATTATTTATTTTACTGAACGAATGTCATGATTTTACGATTTTATTTCCTCTTACAGTAAAAATAATTATAATTTAATTTGTCTACAATATGCTATGTACATTTTATTATTTATATCAATGTGCAACCGAGCAAATTTGATTTTATTCATCATTTCAAACTCATTTCGACTTATTTTTTATTTTTGAACTCTGAAATAGAAGTCAAAGTAAAAACTATGGTACCCTGTCATGTTATTGTATTCATTGATTACATTGATTATAATAGCATACCCATCAATTCATAGCAATATAAAACTGTAAATAATTTAAAACGTTCTAGAATTTTTTGTACTTTTACCTGTTACTATTTATTATACTTGTATGATGTTTATCCATAGTGTTTGATATTATTATTTTTAAGGTAAATCCAATTTTTGTAATTAAACATTTAACTTGAGAAATTTAAACTATAGTTAAATTATTTTCCACATTTTAATTTTATTATTCCGAAGTACCTAGGTACTTTATTAAAAGATTAGTCACACAGTAATTGTTAATTTTTCATATTCGTTCAAAAGTATTTGAATATATTTATTATTAAATATTATAATGTACAATAAAAATAATTTACTTATATTATTATTTAATTAATTAAATTTTTTATATTAAATCGTTTTTAAAATAGTAAATTTAATGTGAAGTAAAATTAATAAATAGGGCTCGGAAGTTATTGCATTTACATTTTTTTTTTGCACCATTGAATTGCTAAGTGAGGTAGAAATTCATTCCAAAACATATCAAAAGTTTACAGTGCATATTTTCGCATATTTAGTGATTTTTAGATTTTAGAGCACATTTCTTGATTTTACAATTTTTTAGAGCATATTTTATAATTTTTGATGATTTAGTATGAAAATTTGAAAAATAAAAAAATAAAATACATCCAATTGAGAGAACTTTCTTGATATTCTTGTATCGTATTTTTAAAATTTATATTTGACATTAAAAACAATGTTTTCCCCTATTGGTTAAATAATATATATATATATATATATATATTTATAAATTATAACTACAGCTAGCTTTATCTAAAATTAAGTATTATAAAACTATCAAATAGGAACAGATGCTATCAAAATATGATTTTCTATAAATACTGTTCTAGGAAAATAACTCAATGATTATTGAACATTCTTTCGGGGGATTTTTTTTTTTTTATTCAAGAAACACTTTTAATGCTAATTTATTATTGTTATTTTATTAATCAGAATTATTTATAATATTTTGGTTTTTTTATATTTAAAATTTTATAAAATATTTGTGCAAATGAAAATTTTGTGTACAAAAATAAAATATAAGTACATATTTTTAAAGCATATTTGTACTTTTTTAAGCGCATGAATGCATTAAGTTCCGAGCCCTATTAATAAATATATGTCGGTTAAATTTATTTTTAGTTTGAGATAGTATTCTATTAAAAAATATTATTTAAATTCAATTTTCTTTCACCACTGCAGTATTTTTGTTATTTTTTAATTAGTCTTAAAAATATATCAGGTATTTTGGTTATTACATATTTGATTAGTGTTGAAGCTTTATAAAAAAAAAGTTTTTGATTTATGATCTACTGAACTAGGAAATTCGTTTTGCATGTAAAAAAATATTTTAGTGTTATAGAAAAGTTAATTTTGAAAATTAATAGTTTATTTGGTTGTATTATAATAACTATAATAAAATTGTAACAACTTTTGTGAGTAGATATAATTAGATGATATCAAACGACACAGACCAATTCATAAATGTTTATTATTTTACTTATAACAATTTTAATTAATATATGTTTGATTAAATATGGTTTCAACGTAGCTTTATTGAAAATTAATTACTAAAGGAGAAAAATGAATTACTTTCAAAGGATATTAATAGAACTGTTATTTTAGAAAATATTTATTTCCTACAAAATATATTTTAAGAGTTCTCACCACTGATACTTATTTGTATGTTGTATTGTTAATGCTTGTATAATTATCCATTCAACTGTTCATATGATAAAAAGTGACATCCTCCACTAAATAAATTACATGGGAATTAAAAAAATTACCTTTAAATGGAACTACCTAAACATTTTGAATTAATTTTAATTACTATTAACTTATTAATTACGTTCATATAAAAAGTTAAATATAAATATTAAAGTATTCTTCAATTTTAATTCAATTATTAGTAATTATAATTTTATTTTAATAAAAAAATTTATCACTACATGTAATAATAATTATATTATTATTACCAATTGATTTGTTATTTAACAATTAATTTAATATTTTATTGTTAATATGTTTAAATTTAACTGTGGTACTTTTTACTTTTTACAAATAATTTCATATTTTTCCGATTAACAGCATTTAGATTAATTACTTCTGTTAAAAATTATGATTTTCCTATTTATATATGTGTGTAAGTTATATTGGTTGTGGTGGTATCGTTTCCTCCTCCATACGAATAGCCTTTAGAGGGCTACCGAAAAAGTTTAAAATACTGGCAGTGAGGTTTGGAGGTCTACGTCGTGCGCACGGGATCGTCCTGGAAGCTGGTTTTAAATAGTTATAAAGAGTGTGATCAAATAAAAGTTTTATATGCGAGAATAAACTGATGTTATTGTGTGTAAGTGTAGAAAATCACCTGTCAGTGGGAAAATAGTTAATACTTCTTTCCAAAAAATGACTTCATTCGTTAGCTCCATTCTACAAACCATTAAAATTGTGCTTCTTCCGTTTATGAATTGTAATTAAAAATATAAAAAGTAGCAAATTAAAATAATTTGTTGTATCGTATACTTTGAAAATATTTTATTGCTACACTTTATTGTACTTTGATATATTAATTTATTTTTATGGATTCAATTTCAAGCTTTTTATTTAATATATAAATAAAAGTAAAGTTGATTTGATTTAAAACATAATTCAATATGTTTAATTCGTAGCCTACGGCGTTTTGCGCCGAATCGTTGGATTTGTTACATATACGTATTACAATTGCCTATACAAGACGCCTTTATAATATTATGTTCTTGTTCGTAATATTATCGTGTATTATTATTGAGGGGTTTTTTTTTTCGTTGATCCGTTTGGTTGGTCTACAACTTTAGATCGCTCCCGATCTTCTGCCAGCCGTTATAGTTCGACGCACGTGAAAAACCATTTTTCGGTTGTGATATGTACGTAATTTTTTATTTTTTTTTTATTTTTAATTTGCCTTTGTTCGCACAATGTACGTAATTTATTTATCACATTTCAGCAACTCGTTTCGGTCCCCGTGAAACGGTACTGTTCTCTTACCGCATTCCATGTTTCACAAATCCCTTGTCCGGTAGTGTTGCTCCTGCGCGGTCGTTTCTTCGCGAAGGAAGCGATGGTCGGCGCTTTCGCGATTAAATGGTCGGGAGGGGGGGGGAATATCTATTCTAATATTTATTACGTTCCGCATTTCCATGGGCGTGCGCAACAAACGGAGACCGCGCGAATCCTGCCCAAGTCCGGGCCGTGGGACTCGGCGCGTCTAGAACGTTTTGTTGTATTACCGTGACTGGTCGCGGCGCCGAGACGTGGGAACCGAAAACGCCGGGCAGGACCTACGTTTCGTCACGACTTAACAACCGTGTAGGCGTGTTTCGATGCGCGCATACGAAAACGATTAGCGTTTTTAACATTCCCTTTCCCCCCCCCCCCATCACCATCACGTGCGCAGGGGTCAGCGAGAACGAGCTAAAACGAAATCCGGGGGATGATACTTGCAGTGATACGCCGGCGCGTAGTGCACGAAATAGTGTACGGCATTGTACAATACTGTTTTTGTTATTGTTATTATTATTAATAATATATTATACGGATTGTATTTTTATTGCTGGTCGCGTGCGCGACAATTTCCGCGATACGACCGATGAGCTATTATTTATTATTATTATTGTAATACGTACACCGTTACAATGATATTATAATATCCTGTGCAGGGCGCGCGTGTGTGTGTATTATCCGTACTTTGGACCGTAGTTAAACGGCAATTAGTCATAGGGGAATATCGTGCCGTAGGTGTATGCGTACGCCAGCGGCGAGTGCGCATTGAAGTCGGTTCGGTGCTAAATGACCCTTGACGAATTAAAACGAACGCCGCCCGTTCGATTTAATCGATATTAAGCTTCATTTGACGGTCGGGCCCTTCGTGCGCTGCAGTATATTTACACGGTATACATACATTTATAGATATGTATATGTACAATTTGGGGAGGGTCGAACCGCATGGACCAATGTTTTCGTGCGCTCCTCTGCAGCGTAAAAATCACACACAGGATGCAGGGGGATTGAGTCGTGGAAGGGGACTGCAGGGAATCGCTTCAACGCGTAAAAATCGTACCCTATGCAAATTATATTAATTACCATGTAGTTAAGCATTTTTTAGCAGCACGAACGAACGCTTAAAACCGGTTATTTGCGATCTCGTAAATCCTGTATTGATATAATTTTTGTTTCATTTGTTTATTTTAATAAAATAATAGCTTATACATATATATATATATCAAGATCAAATCAATCGTATTATTTCCCTTACGTATTTGTTAAAATCACTTAGTCTATTCCTTCTCTTCAAGAGATAATTTTGCTCACGATTTTCAACGGGTAGCCCAATAATTTTAAAAAGAAAATATGGCTTTGCTCAGCATCTAAAATAATATTATAATAGTTTTAGTTACTGATTTTTTTCCTGTTCCTCCGCTTTCGATAACGTAAATGTTAAGTTAATATAAATCGTTTAACTATTGTTTGTACTTATATAATAATATAATAATTATATTAATTTTACGTATATATTTATATACATTAAAATAATACGGCGTCATAGTAAGTATAATTTTGTGAAACGAAGAAGTCTTAATTTTTCAAACCGCGACTTAGGTCCCGGAAGTTATAGGTTAGCATGGTGTATGTACCCTGAGTATTTTATTATCATTGCGGCATTGAAGCAATCACTGCATAGATTCGATACGGTGCTCTGACAGGACGCCGTTTTTTGTAAACGAGTTAGATAATGTATTACGAGTGACAAATTTTCTAACATTATAATACAATTTCGTTTGATTCTAATACAATTAATTACATTCGACATCATTAAAATGAATATAAACTTGAGATTCTCGTTAACAAATGAAAAGTATTCAAGTGGGCGTGTGTTAATACTTATTTAAATACAGCAAATTAAATATAATCCGTTTGTGCAGTTGACGAGCTTATACATTAAGTACGGTTTAATGTTATTGTTGCCAGTGTTATGTACTTTT